CATAACATATAGCAATAAATACAATGCAATGCAACATTTAGATAGTAAATACTAGCTACCTCTTTCAAACTTCTCCTCTTCCTTTAACCTTTTCCCCTTAAGCAAATCTTCTTCTCTTTTGATGCCAGGCCTATTGATAGCACAATAGTGCATCACAAATTATTATTCCTTCCAAAACATTAATCAAATAACCCTTAATCCCCTTTTCTTTGATTTTTGGGTTATTATTTGTAACTTTGATTCTTTGATTCCCTTGGCCCATTCCTATATAATTTTTATGTAGAATCCAAATATCAACTTATATTTATGAAAATCTAATTCCTCTCTTATGATCCAAGCTTGGCTGAAACACATGTCCTTGGAATTCAAAATTTTCATTTTCAATTTTAATGCTTCTAAGCTTCCTTTCTTGGTGTTTTCTACACCATCTTATCGTTTAAATACGTTGGAAGCATCAAATTGAATTGAATCCAAATCTAATCCCATTTTCTTGTTTTGGCTGAATTGATTCTTAAATCCAAGGGTTGAATTTTCTTTTCAAAACTCAATCAAAACCAATATATTCCTAGTCTTTTTAAGTGTTCAATCAATGTCTCAAACCCTTAGCTAAATCCTTTTGATTTTCTAAAAATTTTGGCAGCATTTTTTCATAGAAAATGGCCATCCCAATCAATATAAAATGCCATAAAAACAATCCACAATAAATCACAAATGGCTTAGGAGCTCACCTTAATGATTACTTGAACTTGGGTGAACTTTCTCTCTTTAGAATTTGCCTTTTCTATCTCTAAACTCAAGAGCAACAAAGCCTCCCTTTGTTTTCTCTCTTTGGCCGAAATGCATGGGTGGGAGGGGGTATTTATAGAGTTTTGCTCTAGCTCTTAGCTATTGAAGTTTGAAGAAATTATAAGGTATAGGTGGAAAGATCTTAGCCGTTCATTTTTATTCCAAGATTAATGGAAAAGAAAATGACATAAATGGAAGAATCTTAGGCTTCATGAATGTGATCTTGCCACTTGTCCATGTGATATCATGTTGGTGATGTCACTTTGCTTATGTCATGCCAAAATCATTATGCCTTAACCTTGGTTAACTTTCTTAATCCAAGACTAACTTTTCTTAATTACTCTCTAGAACCTTGATTTTCTTTTCATTTCCATTTAAATATTTTCCCTTTCTTGAACCTTATTATGTGTGATTTTTGGGCCAAATGGGATGGAGAATTTTTGCAAAATTTTTCACTTCATGGTTATCTTTACATTACATTGAGTACGGTATAGTGTCAGATAAATTTTTTATGTATCCTGTCCATTTTGCTATCTCATAAAATTTATCTCAATGTACTGTTAGACTTTTCTTAGTGTAGGAAAGTCCCATGTTTTTCTCAGAATTCAATTCCCTCAGAAATTCTCCAAATTTCATTTTTTTTCAAAATTGTCAATTTACCAACGATAATTCTGCTTTAAATATTATTAAAGTTAACCTCCTTATCAATGAAGTTCAGAATAATTTTATAAATTATTATAATCCTCCAAGGTATTTTTTTCATTTTTTTAAGAATTATTGAGGCATGTAAATATTTTTCATAATCAACTTTGGTTACTATTACTCAATGTAACTAAAAATTCTTGTAAATATAAAAAAGTCTATATATATTTATTTCCCTTCCAATAATTCCTCTGGGGTCCCAAATACTGATCCTTGACCCTTATTTCCATTTTTCATGATTTTTTGAGAATTTTTGAGAATTTCTAACCTGACTTCTCAGTTAAATCTTTCTTTAATTGATATTTAAAATATCAGTATAGTCACTATCCGGATTTTAAATTCAAACTTGTACTAATTATGTTTCCTTCTATACTAATAGGCCCTTGATCTATTTAATTTCTTTAATTTTTATGGTTAAGATTCTAAGGATGTTACACTAAGACCTTGAAAATCATAATAAAATAGCTAGAACTAAGGATGAAACCAACTCCCCTTCAAAGCCTTTGGAACTTGTGCCAATCAATCCATTTTCAAGAGAACAAAAGTTTAGCCACGTATTGGGGCAAAAAGTACCATAATGAGCAGCAATTTCAAGCTACCCATGGTGGAGAACAAATAAAAAATGGAAGAAAATGAAGATTTGGTGAAGGAGAGTGGATAATGAAGAGAGAAAAATGAATGGGAGAGGTTGTGAATGAATGAATGTGGCTAGGGTTCAAGAATGCATCAGTCTTGGGGTGCTATGGTCGAGTCTGGGTTGGATTTTAAGTCGGTAAACCATTTAGAGTTGGATCTCGCAAGTAAAATGTGTCACTTCATAAATATGCTAGGCGTTATAGCAGATGTTTCCATCTCCTGTGACGGATTGGACAAAATCCCTCCTCCGCCAATTTGTGCTATGTTGTTTGTTAGTCTTTGATCTTGGCCTTATTTTTCTTGTGTCCTGTAATAAAAATCAGTCTAAATGAAGTATCAATTGTCCTGAAAATTAATTAATAACTATTAATGACTAATTATGATAATTTTGACCCCAAAAGATATTAACTCTATTCAAAGGCATCTAAACCAGATTAGACATAAATATGTACAATCATACTCATAATAATCTATAACAACCCACAAAATGATATGAAATAATATATAATAAATGGGTTAGATATAGAGCAGTACCACCGTACCACAATGACAGGGCCTCGTCGAACCCACAATGTTTTCACCCTTCCCAACATTTTCACCCACAACATTTTCACCCTCAGAAACCCCCCTCCTCTAGCTTCTCGTGTACGATGATGATACTGTCAAGTCCTCTATTTCCTTCTATCTTTATTGTGCTCAACCCCATTGCTCTAGATGGAGAAGATATTGATTTAGTTGAAGGCATTTAATTTGACCTAACCCAATCAAACATCATTCAATAACACATGGAATCTTACCTGTATACAACATGTCTTTAACCTGTCTTGCCAGGTGGCATCTTCTCCTACCTGGCAAACGTTAGTTGGCCCCTCTGTTAACCTAAGGCATTTTAGCTACAAAGTTGTACTTCCATGACATTTTAGAGTAAAAAAAAAAAATTTCAAGTGCTGGGTGCTCCTCATTATGCACTTTCGGGATATTTTAGCACACTAAAAACCCATCAGTCAAAAATTGAATGGAAAAAAGGGTATATAAAAACATATGTTTATTACACTAAAGTACCCACAGCTTTTGTTTATTATTTTCACATTGTTTCTCTTTTTTTTAATTAAGTCTTAATTTGCTTGATATGATTTTCTTTTGTTCCTTAGGAACCTCTATGAAATTTCTATTTTCTCAAAAATTTATGTCTTGTCCTTGAAAGTATTTAAATATTTTTATATTGTTTAAATAATAGGAAAAATTCATTAACCAAGTAATTAACTTGTCTACCTTTATTTATCCTTACTTAACCACATTATTTTTCTTTTCCTAAAAAAATTATGCTTTGGGATTAGGCTCTTAAAAAAAATTAAATCTCATTTTGAGTAAACCTTCTTTATGCAATTAAATAGATGACAAGTTCTAATTACCATAAAATAATCCAATTAAAATCAAACTATCAAATTAATATTGCACTTTTTCACAAAACAAGAATTTGATTTCATTAAAATATATTTATAACCAATTTATCTTTATTAGAATTTTCTCACAAAATTTACAAATTCTATTCTTTCTTTCCTTGATTTTATTTCTGTATATCTCAAGCCATACATTTGACCCATTCTAATTCTCTATTTACTTAATAAATCTTATCTTAATGGTTTTTTTAAATATTAGGAGTAAAAAAAATTTGATCTTACATAGAGAATCAACCTAGGTTGTCCCTATACTATATAGGAATAGTCTAGTTATTAATTTGAACACGATACGGCTAAGTGCAATTAGTGCCGCTCTAGTTCACATTTGTTTTGATTCACAGTGACAACCCCTATTTACAATAAAAAAAAATCATTATCTACCTTTCACATAATAAACAAACGAAAAATTCCCCAAAAAAGAAAGCATAGTTGAATTTTCAAGAGCTCAATAGGTCAGTTGAATTTCTTTTGGAACTTTTTCAACATTCGTAATGTAAATTACAACTCTTTTAACAAATCTCACAATTTTATTATTGTTATTAATTATATTATACGACAAATTTTTAAGCTTAGAGAAACTAGTGAGTGCCTAAATTTATTAAATTTTTTTTTAACATTAGTAATGTGATTGAGAACTCTTCTTAGAAGTCACACAACTCAATTAATAATATTAATTTAAAAATATGTCATATAACATAGTTAATAACATTAATAAAGTTGTTAATATTGTTATAAAATTTAACAATCATGTTATAAATGTTGAAAAGAATCCTAACTTAAAAATCTAAACAATACATGGTGAATGAGTTTCATCGAGCCATAATATTGCTACAAATGTTAAAAAAATTCTAAAACAACAACAGAGCTCAAGTGCTACTGTCGAAATTTTTTTAATAAAGAGAAACATTGTAAATTGATCAACATTTTAATTTTAAAATTTTTAATTAGTCATTGTAACTTGTGTAAAATTTTGCAAATTTAAGTAGTATTTTAGGATTTAGAAAATTTCAGTGTCATCCTTTTATAGTTTTCTAATGAATAAATGGTAGTGTGATTGATATTACAAACATCTTCAAACCACTTGGATATCTTAATTAAATAAGGATTTTGAATTTAAATAAAATTAATTTAAATATGATCTTTTATTCCATTAAAACTAATTTAACTAATATTAAATTAATAAATTTAATTTAATATTATTTAAATAAGCCAAATAGGCTCATAAATATTAGGAGAATTACAATAGAATCCCAAAGAATAAAAATAATTAATAAAAAAATCTTAATAACAACTTAAACAATTTGTAATGATAACTGGACGAGAAAAAAATAATAATTTCTTAGACTTATTTTGTAATTATTTTTCTGTTTTAGAATCTCATTATAATTCTCCCTAAATACTTCAGCCCATGAAATAAATCCGAAATTCAACACAAGTAAACAAGATAACCCCAAATCGATCGGTTACACCACAATGGATGATTGATTTCGTCATCAGCAAAAACAAAAACCAGGAAAAAAAAAAAGGGGAGCAGGGAGAGAGGAGAGACGCCTATTTGTTTTAACTCAATTCCGATCGTCCTACCCTATCATATTTGGCTATTTTAGTGAGTGAAGAATTAAAAACTGTGAAGCTGCGTTAGCATGTGAACAAGCTCATCACTGGAAGGCCTATCTGCAGGCAAATCTGAGAGGCACGCCGCGGCTACCCTAACGGCCATAAGCATATCGTCTTCATCCCCTTCTCTAGCGATTATGCTCTTATCCAGCGCTTCCTTGGCATCTCCTGCTTGCTGCAGCTGCCTTAGCCAACATCCCATGCTCCCTCCGTCCTCTGCTTCTTCAAAGAATCCATCTCCTGGGTCCCTTCCCGTTAATAATACACACAAGATCATCCCAAAACTGAATATGTCACTTTTGTCACTGTACCTGCTGAAATACATAAAACAAATCAGTATCAACTTCACACGCATACACATGTGCATCCAACTACATCACAAAAGAACAACAACAGGATACTTCCATTGACAATCCACCTTTAATTTCTATTTATTCTTCCATACAACTTTACCTAAGTCTTTTGTTACCATGTGACAAGCAAAACTTGTGGACAAATAATAAAACTTGAACTGTGTTGATTATGCATGTCTTTCAAATAAATAACAACAGTAACATTAGTTGTAAAATGTTACATTAATATCCGTAAGTATTTACTGCATAGCATTGGAATAATCATCAATGAAATTACAATTGGACAGAAGATAACAATAAGAACACTAATGTCAAGAGGAAAAATTTAAACAAGAGCATTCACGTATGCACAATGATCAGCCTCCTGCCTTCCCTTGGGGAATAAAGCAGGACAGATTACCCTAGCAGCAAAACTGATCAGCAATAATAAATTCAAATCATAGTGATTTTCGCACCTGCAATTATGGAAGCACTCGGGGGGAGTGTAGGGAGATGTGGCTCTATTCAAGTTGGGTAGAAGCTTAATCAATCCATAATCAGACAACCTAGGTTCAAACTCAGAATCCAACATTACATTGGTGGGTTTGAGGTTGTAGTGCAGAATCTGAGGAACACAAGAAGAATGAAGATACTGAAGCCCCTTAACCACCCCAATAGCAATCCTCAGCCTAACATCCCAATCAAGCGGCAACTCACTTTCCTTAGCCCTGTTCATTGCATCAGCAAGGCTTCCCTTTGCTACATAATCATAAATCAAGGAAAAACTGTCAGGTTCCCGAACATAGGCCCGTAAGCTCATCAAATTCCGATGTCTTAGACTAGCAAGCACTTCCAGCTCCTTCTGTATTTCTCTTTTAACCCTTTTTTTCCTAATCTCTGGTGAACCGCTTTCAAATGTCGTTAAACTCTTGACTGCAATTGTGAGCCCATTGTCAAGCACCGTTCTGTAACATCTGCCGTTTAGGCTTGAACCGAGTAAATGGTTTTCTTTTGCCAAAGCTGATTGGAGTGTCTTGGGAGAAATTTTCGGGGAAAATATGACAGGACCCTTGAGTATTGGGGTTCGATTCAAATACTGAACAAAGCAACGAACTATAAGAGCAAACAAAACGGAGCCAACAAATCCAGTGACTCCTCCTAGAACAATGCTTACGATAATTTTGCGGAAGTCTTCCCTGTCTTGTGAAGGGCTTGATGGATACGCAATCCCTGATTCTGAATAGTTCTGCTCATTCAACCTTCCCTGGCACTCAACAGTATTGTGCTGGAAGCTAAATACGAACAACAAGAGTAAAGTAAAAAACTGCTTTGTATAATATGAGGAACTGTATCTTTCGGAAGCCATTGAAGCAGGTATAGAGCCACAAATCTTAGATGCTATGCAGGAAGAGAAAGCATGGCATTTTCTAGTTGCCTAACCCATCTGCAAACTCTGTCCCCATGACTAGTTGACACACGGAAGCAGACTCAACGAGCCACCAAGATCAAATTTTTATGCTGATAACATCCGCATGCAGCTCTAACTCGCTCAAACTTTGGAGCAATATGGCAGGAAATAAGTCTCATAGGAGAGGTTATAAGAGAAACGGATCCGTTAAAAAGCGCATCTTTTCAGCTCAATATCGTCACGAGGAAGCTGCAAAGAATCACATTCATTTTTCATCGAATCCCATAATTTATCTTACTTGTAAATCATTTGTTCCTTCCGACGAATCTGAACAAGAATATGAATCTGTAAAAGAAAAAGAATAAATAAACAAATTAGCAACTAGCAGAAGAACCAAAGACCCATTTATTATCTTGGCTCCAGAAAAGAAAAATGAGCTCCTGAAAGAAAACGTTCGACATGATGAGGCGAGTCCTTTTCTTCCAAAACAACTACGAAGACTCTCCCGTCCTTAAAATAATATATTACTTAAAAGAGAAGCAGACAAACCAAAAACAGGAGCGAAAGAGGATGAACTTCCTTTCACTGAGCAAAGAAAGGAGTGGATAGACGAAGGAGAAGAGGGCACACGCGCACTAGGCAGGTGTGTTCTTACTTGCTATTGTCATTCGCTATTGCTCAAAGCGTCTCTCTCTCTCACATCTGAGGGTAGAAGGAGGAGATATACCGTACCCCAGCGACAAAACTGGGTTCCCGCCTTTCTGAGTAGCCAGTAGTCCAGTACTAAGTGGGGTCCACACCCGAAAGCGAAACATCGAAACCCGTGAGAAGAGGAAATCAGAGAGGAAATTGACCGTCCGCTAGCAGCAAACAAATCTTGAGCGTTAAATTAAGAATTTGAGTATGTTTAACTGTGCGTCATCTCATCGCGGAGATTAGTAAAGTGGCCTATTTCTTTATTATTTTCTTTAAATCAATGTGACGTGCTTTTTCAATCTTCTTTTCCTCTCTTCATCTTAGGAAGTTATGTTTGGATTGGCGTTGGACAAAACTGACTTCTAACCCCATTGATTTTTGTAATTGAAATTAGAGTAAAAGTTAGTTAGTGTAATGCTATTTATGTTTGGATAGATGTTTTTAAAAAGTCAGTTGAAAAAATCAAAAGTTGTTTGGATGATTAATAAAAAAGTTAGTTTAATTGTAAAATGATTGAAAAAGATATAGAATAGTGTTTGAAATATTATATTTTTAATGTGATAATAATTTAAAGAAACACGTAAAATTATTATGATAAAATATAAATAGTTTATTTGTAAAATTATAAAATAAAAATATTTGTTACGGAGAAAAATTTGAAAATATATTGTAGATAATTAATTAAATATACATAATAAACAAACATGAATATAAATTAAAATTTACTTGGTCTCTAATTAAAGTAAATAGAACCACATAACTAATTAGATCGTAAACTTTACACAATTTTTTCATAAGTTAGTTAGAAAAATTGATTCAGATTGTGTTGGATAAGTCAGTTAGAAAAGTTACTTTCTTTTATAAGTTAGTTAGAAACGAAACTCAATCCAAACGATCTTCTGAACTGCAATAAGCTACAAACTTTAATTTCACGCTTTCCTGTGTGCTTTTAGCATTCCAAACAAGCCCGTAGACTGTTAGTCTATCACTTGGAAAACCCTGTCAGAGTACTTTAAATACACGTCAATAAAGTAGAGAATACCTGATGAATCTTCTCTCCCCCCATTCATTAATTGAAAAAAAATTATCAGATTACAATGTACTTTACCAAGCTTTTCACACTTCATTTTAAATGGCTTACAATTAATCAACATGAATTTATTATAATTATTAAAATCATTATTAATTAATTTCTCATGACATTTTAATGATTGTTTACAAACATTTACCAGATGAATTATAAATCATAAAAAGAATTTTAAGATGATTTTTATGGTGAGAAATGCAGTTTACTACCTAACACATCCTAAAATAATAATTTAACGCTTAAAAGATTACATCGTAGAAATAATAAACACAAAAATAGGGAGAAGAAAACCAGTTGCCCCCTCACAGCCACAAACACCACCTCTAAAATAAGCCAATGTACACATACATAAACCCCCAAGACCGCACGGCTGCTTCACCAAAAAGGAAGCAAAAGAAAACAGGAATACAAAAGCATCATATCATATTACAGTTTACACAGACTAGAGAGCTCGGCCTCCATGATATGCTATTAGTACTAAGGTGCTCTTTAAACTTAGACCAATGTGGTCACATTTTTGGATTACAACTCCGAGGACCAACAATCGCATAATATGACCCAAGGGATGGGCATCTCAACCTGCCACACTCTCTCAAGCCTTCAATACTAGTGACACCACCTTAAAAAACAACACCTTCTCCCGTTTATCACATACAATAATTTACAAAAACCCAATGTTTCATATCTTAAACTACTTGGAACTTCAGTGCTCCTTTATTTACTGAATAGCCTTATCCATTTGAATCAGATAATAAAGCAAGCACTTCATTGTCATCAAAGTTTGACCGTACAGCAAGGTCAAGGGGGGTTCTTCCCTCTTCATCAGCAACTTGAGGTTCAGCTCCCCTGCGTTATTTAATTATTTCAGTGGGGCATTCCAATAGCATCGGCTCAATAAAAAGTATTCTACGAATTTTAAAAACTGTCTTTCAAAGATCTCAGGGTAACTTTAACCTAAATGAGCTGTAGATATATTGTACGAACTAATTAAACCATTATACAAGTGTGTATATATAAATCACCTTGAGAGAAGTAATCTTGCCAATGTAGATCTTCCTTTGAGAATGCAGCGGTGGAGAGGTGTTTGGCCTCTCATGTCAGTGGCATTAATATTTGCACCATACTGAAGAAGAAGCTCCAGCATGCCAATGTCAGCTGTTTCACAAGCAAGGTGAAGTAGGGTACACCCATCAAGATCATTCATCGTCTGATCGTCTTTTGCTCCCACCATATTCAGGGGACAAGTAGAGGACCAATCGAATGAGTTCCCTACTAAACTAGAGTTGTGATCACGGCCTGTCTGCTCTTGTAATAGCATCACTCTGGCAAGGGTTAAAGAAGAGCTGCATGTTTGCTCATAAACAGCATTAACATCAACTTCATAATTAACAATGTAGCGGTACACAGCTTTTTTGTCATTAGAACGAACAGCTTCCCAAATCTGTTGTGCCACCAAGAGACGATATTGATTGTCTTTTGACTTGTGAGCAAAAAGCTTCTCTGCGTACTGCAATCAGGGAAAAATTAGTTTTGAGGCCGTCAAAATGTTGGCCATTAGAAGTTAGCAGGGAACTAAATAATAACCAAGACAAATACCTACTAATGTTACTGTGCCCACCATCAAAAGAATTTTAAGAAATTTTAAGAAATACCCCATCCCATAAAAATTTATTATGATTAGTAGCTGTTGAAAAGCTAGAAACCCTGGACATAAAAAATGCGATGCATCTCTTTTGTGTGAAGCCTGGGTTTTCTTTATTCAACTTAAGATTCAAGTGCCATACTGATCTGTTGGAATGGCATTATCTTAGTGTAATTACAAAAACTTAATCCATCATCGTATCCCATATTCCCTTGAACCCCACATCATTGTTAAGTTTCTGTTTAGAGGTGTACTGTTGTAGTGTCTTAAAGCACCTCAAGTTCCCCTTCCTCTGTCAGTAAGTGCTTGAAATACAAGATCCAGTCAGGAGAATCGACACATTGTACGAATACCTTTGCATGGATGAACTTTTCCTTCACAGATAAAGAATCAGACTGACAAGGTTTGCTGATGAAGAGAACCTGTGGTTTGTCGGACTTACTTAAGCTTCAAGAGAAAAGGAAAATATAAGCAAGACTTGATCAAGAATAATCAAAATTGGATTAAAGAACAGATATGCCAATGCAGATTCTCTACCCTGTGGGGACAAGATCAATCTGAAAGGCACTTCTTGAATGCAACAATTCCTCCCAGACTGAGTTGGCAAAAGTATTCCCAAGTGATTGAAACAAACTTATCACAGAAGGTTCCCACACTTTAACATCCAATGTTAGAGACCTAACCTGCAGGAAAATTCAGAAGAGGAAGCTGGATGAACAATCTATGCAAAGTAAATAAACAATCCCGATAAATAAATCCTTCCTGCAGAACATCTTGGAAAACAAGGTAGAGCAAAAGTTGAATGGACAAAAACAAAATATATCCAACAAACTCTTAACCTCCATCCTAATAATATAACCACACAAGAACGCTTGTACCCTCTAATTTGAGCTCATTACAAACAAATAATTCCTCAACTTACAAAACTTTACTAAATTCTTAACGCTGCTTTTAGAGGGCAATGTTTTTCTAAGCCTTTAAGAATTTTCAAAAATGTTATATCTCTTAACAAAAGACATGACATTGTCATAAAAGAGGGGTATAAAATTCAAGATCGAGATGCAAATAATTAATATGGAAGAGAAATGGAATTCAAGTAGGCATATGTATAGATTGCTGCGAGGCAGCAGTAAGCACACTGGATAATAATGGTTCTCCAAATTACCAATATACAGGGAGGCATTCCAACAATTGTCCATTCAAAAGCTTCTTTTTTCGCAAAAAGGGTTCACAATCACCCAATAGAAATCTTCATCTATTCACATCAATCGAACAGCACACTCAACAATTAATACAGAGTCATCAACATTATCTTCTACCAATAAGAGCCAATTATTTGCTATTGTGAAATGGCCCCCACTCCCAAACTTGATTAAAAGCTAACAACGGCTTGAGGTATTTTGTGAAGGTGATCAACTTTATCAAACTAAATATCCACTTGAGGATTGAGGAATGTTCTGCAACAATATTTTAAGGATGTAATGCAATTTTTTTAAGTACATAGAATGTTATTCCATAAATTCGTTGTTTGCATAAAGAATAGGAAACACTTTAGAAGTAAAAGGAATTATGCAAAAACATAGATTTGGATTGCTGAAACTTGCCACCCTTGTGTCAAAAAATTCCGTCATCAAGAAATTACCATACTTCATTCTAATTCCTTTCCCAACTTTTATAATATGCCCATTCACAAACATTCCTAAACCAGTTTACCGAAATATAGAGAATTCAACCAAACTTGATATATTGAAATAGACAAATGGTTAGTACTAGCAGTGATGCTTACCTTTGATATGTGTACACCAAGATTTCGGTGAACACCAGAACACTCAATGCAAACAAGAACACCAAGATTTAATGATGCCCAATCAGGTTCAGGCGCCCCACAATCAGCACATATATCATTTCCACAAACTCGTCGCAAAACATCAATTGGCTTCTCATTTTTTATACATGGTCGTTGCTGCTGCTGCAAGCTTCTTGAGGGGCGTTCCATATGTGCAGAAGCAAGACCTCTGTCCGATTTATATTCTTCCACAGCAGAGTGATCAAAATCTGAACTTTCAAAAGAACTACTCTCACTGGCAGACCTATTATGACCACTTCCCATAGGACTAGCAGGGAGACACTGATAAAATTGGATAACATTAATAAAAATGATGAAAGTATATATCTACAGAGTCAGCATAAGCTTCGAGATGTACCCTTTCAGGAATCTGAGAACTCAGCAATGAAGCAATAACACCAGTGATCTTTTCAATCCAATCCATTTGGTCCAATGCACTCTCTGCCTGCACTGACAAACATAATTAAGTACAATTGAGGAATCAAACTAAGATATGAACCACAATCAACAAACTGAACCGAACCAGCCGGTTCAACCAAAAAACTGGTGAACCGGGCAAGAGCCGATTTGGTTTAAGAACTGAACGGGACACAAATAGAACCAGTGGCAAACCAGTCAAACCGTGAGGTGAACCGGTGAAACCGGTAAAATCCGGTGTGGATAGTTGATGAACTGGATTGGATAATTATTCCATTTTTTCTCTTTCAGTTCCTAATATCTCAGTCATTATGGACTTAAATGAATAATGATTTTGGTATGAATGATTATTAATTTTCCTCATCGAGGAATCATAAATATCAACATTCTCAATATTGTTATACTTTGTTATTATTACAATCAAACTATTGTTGTATTTTCTTACATTTTGTTATTAGTGATTATTATTGTTGTTGTATTTTGTTATTTTTAATTAAATTATATAATTTTAATATGATCGATTTGATCCCAGTTGAACTTCATTCTGACCCACTGACCCTTGAACCATTACCTCAACCAGTTTAATGTCCAGCCCGGTTTTTTGTTCCTCGCTATTATCATAAATAAAAAATCCTAAAAACCATATCAAATAACCTGCAAAGTGTAGTTCTTTGTTGGCGAAATGATTCTGAAGCAAAACCTCAGGTCTGATTGGTCAGCATCAACTTTGATTGTAGACGTAAGCAGATTCACTGTGTGATGAGCAACAGATTTTTCATCATGCACACCACCACCATGATGATGATGATGATGAGAAGACAGCCATCGGCTCAGGAGCCCAGAACCAAGCTCAGAACTATTCCTCTGACCAGAATGTTGACTGCTAGACCCCTACCAAAAATAAACAAACCACAATAATGTAAAGGCGACTTTGACATGAAGGAGCATATTAACTACAATTATTTGTAAACCAACTTTATTTTCTCTACAGATTGCTTACAGATTTGCTGCACTGCTTACGATAGTAATACAACATTCCCCGACTGTCAAGAACAAAAAACCTCCTTTTCCAGTCACCCCTTAAGTTTGAAGACCGCTTTGAAAGATAACCTTGTCGAATTGTTTGAACCTAACATGATGTAAAGATAAGAAAATTAAAGATATATAAAAAATTTAACCATTGTGGGGTAAAGGATTATCTTTCTGAGCAAAAATTTCCAGGCCTCTTTTCAACCTTTCCCTTGGCAGCAGATTGCATAACTGCCTCTATCATTTTATGTGAGCTTCTACCAATGGCTTGTATACCATCTCCATTAGGAGACCCATTAGAACCATTTGAGGACCACCTACTCTCACGATCAACCTGCCTTTTGTACTCTTGCATTCTTTCATTTAGAGCTGCTTGCTCATAGTTGGATCTCTCTCTTGACTGCTGAGCATATGTCAGGACCTGCAGAAGATGTCTCATGTAAATCATTTTAATTGCAAGAGATAACCACCCATTATTTGGCAGTTAACAATAGTCCCATCAAAGAGAAGCCTTATCCCACTAGGTGGGATTGGCTACTTGGATTCCATGACACTAACAATAATCTCATCAGTGAAAAAAAAAAAAAAATATATATATATATATATACATATATGCTCTTGTTTAAAGATAAAAATTATACTGAACCTGGTTAATATATGGCTCCATTTGGTGCAATAACTCGTAACCCTACATGTGAGAGAAGTTACACATAAGCATGCTGTGAAAATAAATGTGAACATTTGAAAATAATATGATTTACCTGTTTGAAGTAGCGAAGATGTGCATCCATGGTCCCACTGACTGCTTCCAAAAATTCAAATCTCTTCTTGGCTTCAACAGCTGACAAAGCTGTAACCTGAACAGAGATTTCAAGTTTATTTGTGGAGAGCGGGAAAGGTCATTGTAGCAGTAATTAACTATATGGAACTGTCAACTGATAAAAAATTACTGACCAAATTAAATCGAGCTTGCTCAAATGTGGATCTTGCATTATGAAGCTCCTGAAATACATCCCATGTGTTTTAAAGATGTATAATATACAAATAAAAAAGGATACCCTATTTATAAGACAAACAAATGCTTACCTCTTCAAGAGCAGTAGCTACATCTGTTTTTGTGCCTTTTCTTAAAGACAGGAACTTTTCACGAGCCTGCAGTTATGAACTTCAAAATTTAGTCTGTTACAAATTATACATAAATTGTCTTTGTAAACCATACAAATGATCTTCATTGATCAAATGAGAAATTTGCTCTAGGCGTATTTTAACATTTAAGAGGTAAACCAGCCATGCAATCATAAGATAAGAATGAAATTTGAACAATAAATGTTGACAAAAAATTCCTTATCTTTTCCTCGTGGTATAAACAAGGAATTTGATTTATCTTGATTTTCAAGAAAATAGTCAAGTTCATACATCCATTAATTAATTTCTATTTGAATAGAGTATAATGATCTAGAAATTAAAAGAAATTAAGGATCAGATATGTACTTGATCATAAATAAGACTGGCTTTGTCAAAACGCTTGCGTGCCTCCTGCACAAAGGGTGATTACCACAGATGAGAAACTACAAATGCAAAATGACTAACATCATGAAATAAAGCATAAGTAACCACTTTTAACTCATCTTTAAAACCTAAATTAGCCTAGTAATGTCAAACTTGTTAGTTGTTTGTGCAGTTCATTATAAAAGGGAATGAAAAATGATCGTGAATAATTATTGTAATATATATTAAAACATCTTAAACGAGAAATGCTGACTTCATTCCACAGTTGATGGAGGGAGATATATAGAAGCTTATGTAATATTGTGCTGTAATGTTCAGGGAGTGACCCTTGTAAGGACAAAGGAAGGAAATGAATGAAGAAAAATAAAAATAAAGTGATGCAGTTGACAGGTTTTTCCCTTTCCTACTGCCTCTGATGAGCTTGGGGACAATTGAGAAGTATTTTTTGCTATTGGACAGAGAGACCCAAGAATAAAAAAAATTAGATAAGCTTCAATTGTAGAGACAAAGAGTGGGTTCCCCATGCTTGCTTAGGTCTCCATCCATGCTATGGCAGAGCCTCCCATTGAGTAAGCACAAGTTATTATTGCGTATTTAAATGATATTGGTACAGAGTGGAGAGGAAAGGAGAGAGAGTAGGGAACTGAATTAATTTCTTTATTCAACCGTCAGAATTGAATACACATGTAAGTATCTGTATCTTCCTAGCAAGCCCTTACTCTATCTTGACTTCCAAACCGAAGTGATTATGAACACTCGCTACAATTGGCTGTGTAATTATACTACTCCTCCAGCCACGTATCAAACACATCCCAAAAGAAATCCTTGGTCACGAGGATAAAGTGAGGAGGTAAGATGGTAGAAAAGGAATCATGTAACTACCCGATGAAGGGAAGGTCCTCCCATAGTGCATCCACTATTTTTGTGTTCTTCCAATAGAGACTCTTAACATGTCAAATGCATCAAGGAAATCCTCATCCATGTGTTCTGGTTTCATGAGCATCATAACTTGCGACTCTTGGCATTTGTTACCACTTGCGTATTTTTCATTGCATTAGTAGCACAAGCCCTTCTTTCTTCACTCAACCATTTCTTTCTTACTCAAAGTCATCATTGGCTTCTCAGTAGAAGGTGAGGACGCCATTGAGCCAATCCCCTCTCCCCCCAAAAGGAATAATCCTTAAAAAAAATAGAGGTTTGAAGTTTTGGCCATCAATGCCCCTATTATCGATGTTGATGGTGTGATGCTTAGACTGACACGTGTTTGGACTCGGGCTATCTACATCATGCTTGCTAAAGTGGATGGTTCAAATGCATTCACAAGTAATTGAATGTTAAGGCGTAAGCCACCAAGGAATCCACTTTGGTTAACAGGTCGTCAAATTTTTTGATGTAGTAATCAACAATGCCAATCATATTCAACTTCTTGATTTACCATCGCATTGATATAGCGAACCTTTAAAATAAAGCCTCCATTTCACAAAAGTATTCATCCCACAGATGTCAATTTCACATCGCTTTCTCATGAAATTAAAGTGCCACTTGAGAGCCTTCTTCAACAAATGAATACTCAGAAGACAAATGCAATGTTCTTGGGGTGTTTCGTCAATGGCAAAGAATTAACAGCATCCATATGCCCACACCCAAAGTTGATGCCATCAAACTTAGGGAACTCTACTCAACTATGCTTTATTGGTGGAGCACAAGTTGCGCAGAGGCCCATAAGTGCTAAACTGGGGGAATTGTCGATGTTGATTTAGAGTATTGGATGAGCTGTCAGCATGATGGTGGCCATTGATAGCCAGCAATAGCGCCAAGCCATTGTTTGCTGTCACTAAGCTTGTGGTGTGCTCACTTCTCTAACGCCACAAGGCTGGAAAGGGCTTTGATACCAAATTGGCATAGAGTAGCACAAGAGAGACAAAGAGGAGTAGAGAACTGAAGTAATTTCTCTATCCAATTGTTAGCATTGAATACATGTGTGGGTTATTGTATCTTGCTAGCAATCCCTTATTCTGTTTCAACTTCCTAACCAAAATAGTTACAAACCCCCACTACAATTGGCTGTGATTACACTATTTGTCCTACTACAACGTATCAGATATGGTTCTTCTCCTCACAATCTGATTTTTAAGAGTGGGTCCTTCATGCTTCCATAAGTCTCTATCAATTGCCATCAAAGCTAAATGTCATGTAAAGGGTTAACTATAGAGTGCACAACCTAGTGGCTGAAGTGATTTTTGCAAGGTGTAGCTCTCAAGGAGGTAGATTCTTCAAGAGCAATGCGTGTGGAGTTCAATATATGACAGCCACAAGTACTTACCGAGGCATTTAAGTGCTGTAATGCTTCCCCCTTACAGGCCAGATTTCAAGGGTGGGTTTCCTATGCTTGCTTGGGTGTAAGCTCCACATATCTTAATTCTGATTCCAAAATAGGAAATAATATATAACTTTCACCAAGGACGCCATTTGTTTCAAGGCCAAGAACTCTTGCTCCACCTCAACCACTCTCAACCAATAAACAATTGAAGAAAAGCCTCACAAGAAAAAGTAGATATTGAAAATAAAGCTACTCCCATAACAAGTCATGAAGATGGAGTTGCCAATGTTCAGCCAATAACCAGTAAGGATAGGGTGTATCATAAAAAGAACATATTATGAGGAGAAAATACCTTGACTTCATGCAAATCGATATTAACAAATTGGAGTAATCTGTCATTTAGCATATGTTCAACCTGAGGAAGAAAGTAGTCTGTGTCAAAAGCATAGCAAACTTTGTTGAACCACAAAACAAGCAAAAAAAGATTCTGAGCCATAAAGATAAGAGGCATAAAGAAGAAGGCTAGAACAATTCTTCCAGATGGTTAACTGCTAAAAGTGATTGTAGGAGATAGCTTCCAGAAATAATTCTCAGACCTATAGCAGTAACTCTAGTCCCTCTTCCTAATCAAATGGTACAGGTAGTAATTACACAACCTCAACTGAAAAACCATTTACATCATGATTTTATACCTGTGAACGAAGGACTTCTTTGTATGTCCCAATTTCTCTCAAGGCTATAGTGAATTTGGTCATAACAGGACCTATCAGTGTTAAAAGATACTCAATCAGTGAAATCAGAAATCATTTTGCTACTGTTTGGAGTAAAGAATGCCATGCAGGATAAAAATGAGATCATGAATATTAAATTGCCTTTACTCTTTAAGACCAATAACCTTAAATTACAGAATAATAAGCAAGAAATTATGTGAAGGAGAATTTAAATTGCTATAGCAAAAGGGTAACTCAGCAAAATTGCTTAATAATTTACTTGCCATTTATGTTTTAGCTGGGGCAAACAAAAACTGTGAGAGAAGAAGAGAGCAGTAAAACCACCAGGATAACACTAAGTGCTTTCATATGACCACAAAAGAAGGAGCAGTAAAACCCTCAGGATAATGCATATGTGCTTTCTCATATGGCCACAAAAGAAATTTTTCAACATCTAGGCATACCTCCAAAAGCAACACTGATGGGATCATTATGGCCTCCACCAAAAGTTTCCAAAGCACTTGCAAATGCAATGTCACCATCATATGCCTCCCCAAGTCCTTCACTAGAAAGGCAAAAGCAATTAGAGTGTGCACCAAGAGCAATACCATGTAGTAAGAATTGACTATATCAAATAACTTCCAAATTGATATATATATATATATATACACTAAAATTTTCCTTTTTGGAAAAACAAAAATAGTAATAATAATAACCAGGTAAGTCTTCATGTTACTTTGGTATCACATCTCTACTATATCACATTCTCTCCATTATTTTGAAAGTAAAGGAACGAGCAGATAGGAAGAACATAATTTTGAAAGGACGGGAACCAAACTAAAGTTAAGAGGAGCAGTGCTAAAGATATTAGTCCCTAGATCTTTTGCAGGGAAAATTTTGCATAATGCCTGCCTCTCACTTGAAAACAGCTCTCCATTTATTTTTACACTAGCTAGCAGTCATTTATGCGTGGTATTACTGTCGAGAAATCCGCAAATCTTGGGTGCCTTGTAAGAACTGGAAGCGGTCCCTCTTTATAAATTTTATAGACTTTGGCAACAGCGTTTTTTTGTTTTTTGTTTTTTGTTTTTTTTTGGGGGGGGGGGGTTATGGCTGTGTCTATGCTCTTCTTTCAAGTCTTTGGCTAAAAGGGAAGGGGCCTATTTCGAAGCCCCTCTTTGGTACTCTTTGCAAGAACACGGCAAAGGAGTTTCTCTTTGAAGGCTTTATAGTGCACGAGCTTCTCTGCTCTTGCTGTGCTGTCTTTTAGGCCTTCAGTTAAGGTTAAAACATTTTACATCATTGAATTTCTTCTTTCTCCCGTCACCAAAATATATAGTAATAGCTATATCATAATGTAAGGCATAAACAGAGTTCCAGCCAATCCAGAGCCAAGGTAAGGGGATTTCCTACAGAAAGTGTGGACAGCAAATTTACTTCTTTTTTTTTTTTTTTAAAGATGTTTTCACAGAAAGAAGCTCAAGATCTTATGACGGTTCATGGTTATAATCAGAAGCCATTAGTAACAACAAAATAAAAATGACAACATACGTGTATTTTCTGCACCCTTTGTAAAATTTCAAACTTCTCTCTCTCAAAGATTCTGAACTCTCCTCCAGGCATTGTATCTGTTTTACAATACTACCGCACATTAGCACACATCAGGTCAATTAAGAAACAACCTATCAATCTGATGATAAAGTGAAGTGAGCATATTGTAAGAACTTCCAAGACAAACATCGAAGGGAACTGTGTGATGATAAAAATGCAATGCAAAGTGCTATAAAGAACAAAATTATTGCACTGGACAGCAGAAAATCACTCAAAAATAAATTCAAAGGACAAAAGTGCTAGTCATGAAAACCAACTACTAATATCCTAAGGAAGCGACACTAGTCACAAAAATGCATACAAGTACAGGGATTTCTAGTTATTCATCCAATCAAAAATATGTCAAATATATTCTAAAAGAACTTAATTGCAGTAAAGGAAAGAAGGGGAAAAAAAAAAAACCAAGAGAACTCACTTTTAATGAGCGTTTTAAACAGATTTTTAAGTAGGTTGTATCTATGGTTTTAGTGACAGTGTAGGATTCTCTACGCTGACTGTGGATCCAGATTCAAAATTAAATACTTTACACAATCTCCGCAATGTATCGAAATGTTCAAGGGCCTAGAAGATCTACATAATAGTAGGATTAGCATTTTGTTGGAGAGAAATGGAATGATTGAAACCGGGTTACCGACATGATTTACCGTAGCAGGAGATAATAAATTGTTGAGTTGTTCAAGAAACGAACAAGCAAGAAGTTATTGGTATGAACCACGCAGAAATATTTGCCTCGAGCAGCACTATTTGCATCGTGTTACAAAATTTGAGATGTTTTTAGTATCAAAACCACATACAATTATAGATAAGGGTGTGTGAGGTACCAGAGAGGTAAATTCAGTGTGTACAGTTAAAAAACAAGGACAAGATTGGACAGGAATAGCATTTTACACTCTTAAGAGCATACAAATAAGTTCCATAGCGCATTCAAAATGCCATGGAAATAGCTGGATCAAGTTGTAAGCTAGTGTAATCGTCCAAAATAAGACAATGGATCCAATTTTGAAAGAGAATTTGAAGGAGAGAGTGAGTGACCTGCTTGCGAAACATAGGAGAGTCGTCGAGCTTTGCGAATTGCATTTTTGCTGATGTTTAGAGTAATAATAAACTACCATTACCATACCACGAAATCAATGCCGATCTTGGCGACACGAAAACCAATCAAGTGTTATCAGCAGGAAAGAGGCAACAGTCGAAGCGAGATCTCAGGATTTTTGAGTTACAAATAAATCAAAGTAATCAAACAACTAAATAACCTTTTGCCACTGAATTAAAACATCAAAACCAGCATTGGCATGAATTTCACGGCCCTGAAGCTACCCAAGAGCTCCCCTTCCCCTTCATCCTCTGCTAGCAAGATTTTCCTTTATTGGATCCCAGCAATATATTTGGTCTCAAAACCCCAGAAGAGCAAGGACAAAACCCTAGAAACCCCACCACAAACACAGGGAGAATTGTTTAATATGCTTCCAGCACGCACACTGTTACACCGCAAGTCTACTTCTTAGTCATGGACGCTTTCTTTTTATTCTTGAGGATGCCAAAGTTAAAGGGCAAGTCTTGGGAATTGAGCTCGATGGATTCAGGCAAATTCATTTCACTACGAATCCATCAGTGTTACACACGCACAAATTGATTAAAGCGAGAACACAGGGTGCCTTTTCCTTTTCCTGCCTCCTCCTTTTTGGGTTTAATTTAATTTAAATAATAATTAATTGAGACGGAAATTGGGAGTGAAACTACGTCGTATGGAATGGACATGGCCAAGCCTAAGGCTGAGGTCTCCCCCCAGTCAATCAAATCCCAAAGAGAAACGGCGTTCCTCCGGCAGCTTCTTCAGTTTCTGTCAACTTTGCAGAGGAGAGAAGCATGAGGTCCCACACACGCGCTTGCATGGAGCGTGGGTGTGAATCATTTCTGGGCGGGCGCCAATGCCGGGAAGAGCGGGATGTCCGCACGAGATGCGCTTCATCCATATGTGCTTGGCAAACTGGCAATTGAATCCTTAAATTTGATGTTTCTACTTTTAAGAAGAAAATGAAAAAAAAAAAAAAGAGCATGAAATTGTGAGTTCTTAATTTATGAAGTTAAGAGTTGAAAATGATAAGGAGTAAAGTACACTCAAATTAAAATTTTAAAATTCAAAAAAAATGACAAAAATGAGCTTTTATTTTTTCTTGTAAAAAAACCTTCAACCCCTCGGGGGATGCCACTGCCAGCTGCCTGCCGAAGCCACACTAGCCACCAACGTGTTGCCTAGCAAGAATCCAATTGAACGGGCCAGTAGTTCGATTTGGGTTAAGTATTGAATCGGCCACAAATTGAACCGGTGGCAAACCGGGAGTGAACCGGTGAAACTGGTGATAGAACCTTATCTTTATATGGTTTTCTCAAATGTTTTCTGATGTTTTGCAACACTTCTATTCTCATTATGCATGCATTTATAGCGATTTGATTGATTCATGCATTGCATTTTGCTGTTTAAGGGGTAAAAAGGATCAATTTTCCCTCCTTAATTGTAATTGCCTTAATGTGTAATCAGTTGGTCTTTACAAAGCTCTTTGTTGTGATTTTTCAGGCAATTGGAGAAGGACCTAAGACCCAAGATGGAGCACTGACAGAGCTATAAGGTTATAAGGACCAAAACGCAAGATTTGGAGTGTTTTGCCTCCATAGGAGCTGAAGTCACGACTTGGATGCCTTTTTAGTGGAACTATGCGTTTTGGAGTTGACTCAAGACTGAATGCTCTCTGTTTCCCCAGGTCGTGACATGATATGCTGAGGTCATGTCCTAGGCCCCCGAGTCGCGACCTGATACGTCTGAAATCGCGACCTGAGTGCGTTAAATGAAGCTATGTGTTTTAGAATAGGTTTCTCAACTTCTACACCTAAGGGGGGCAGCCACCACGAAGACACTCATCCATTCCTCAAATTTGCATAGGGATGAGCCTCCATCAACTCCTCTCAAGACTTCATTGATCCTAGACCCCAAATCATCATTTTTCCTTACTTTTTCACCATTTTCTGTGATTCTGAACCAATTAAACCACTCCAACCATCTTCTTCTTCATTTTTTCAACCCCGTTTTTAGTATCACTCATGGCTGTTCATAGCCGGAGCAATTGTGATTAGTTTAAAGACATAAGAGGCTAATTCTTTAGCCTCTTGGTGATGGAGGATGAAACTTGAGCTCAAAGACTTAATCATGGAGTTTTTCTATAGTCTAATTTTGTACTTAACGTTGTGTTGAACATTTCTAGATTTAGAAATTTTCTGTACTTATGTGAGACTTAATTTATGATTGTAAATCTTGTGTTTAGACTACTATAATATATTTGGATTGGATGCTGTTAATGTTGATTTATCTATATAATATATCAGTTTGAATCTTTATGTTTAGTTTATTGTGAGTGTTCATTGATGATTAATCTGTTTACTTGATATTCTAAGTTGTTGATTGACAATCTGAGGGCATTTGCATCATCTATTCATTTACACTCTAAGTGGTTTTAACAATGTTTTAAATGGTGTTAATTAACTTTGATCAAAGTGAGCTTTCATTAACTAAAACATTGGACCCAAGTGATTGCTTGGGGGTTTTCATCAGACTTGGAGATTTCTAAACTCCTAAATCAATTTAAGAGCCATGATAGCTAAGTCTTTGTCATCAAGAGTCTATTTCATATTACTTTCCCACTTAATCCAAATCATTCCTTCATTTATTTAAAATACCAAAAAGATTTGCTTCTTTGCAATTTATATTTACTGCACTACTTTTTGAACAAATTAAACCCCTTTTTCTTTACCCAAATCATTATGTTTTTGAAAACTAGTTTAATCTAGGTTTTTCCAATAAAGCGCTCCTCGAGAAGAACAATTAGTTGTGCCTAATACTGCATTATCTGGTACAATCACAATCTTGATGACCTGGAAGGCGACATTCCAGTCCGATCAATTGGTAAAAACCGGCATGAATCGGTAATGAACCAGTTTGAATAATTATATTGCTATTGATCCTGTTTTTTCTCATTTAGCTCCTAATATATCAATCATTATGGATTTGAATGAATTTTAATGATAATTTTAGTATCAATAATTATTAATTTTAGTTATTAAAGAATTGTAAAGATCAAAATTCTCAATATTGTTATACTTTATTATTGTTACAATCAAACCATTGTTGTATTTTCTTGTATTTTGTTATTAGTGAATTATTATTGTTATTGTATTTTGTTATTTTTAATTAAATTATATTATTTTAATATGACCAGTTTGATCCCGATTGGACCTTGGTCTGACCCACTAACCCTTGAACTACTACCTCAACTAGTTTAATGTCCAGTCTGATTTTTTGTTCCTTGATTATTTGTGAAAAGTAGTAGGGTGGGATTTAATCTCACCACCCCATGGTTATTTAGGCCAACTAAAAAAATAAGTGACTATTGGGTCACCAATGGTATCTTAATATTATAATGCAAACAAAAATATAAGTGAACTCTTTTTTTCCACCTCCAACTCGTGGCAACATTTTATTTGAAAATGACAAGTCTTAATTGGGAAATGACAAGCCTAAACTTGAGATTAACAAGGCATTTTTCTCTAATACATAACGTGAAATAACATGTGAATCAATTAAAAATGACAATAATTTATCTAGAATGATAAGTTTTGATTGTGAAATGACAATAAAGGTGGCATTTTTACTAGGGCTGACTAGTAGGCAGGACAGGGTAGCATGAAGGTTAGCCTATAGTTTGCCCCATTATAATTAACAGGCACGGGTTAGCCCATAACCTAATGATAACCCATTTAAGCCCGTACCAAATGGGTTGGGCTGACCGGGTAATGAGGTAACCCGTTTATTTTTTTATTTGTTCCTAAGTTTTATTCAACATAATTGCATTATATTCTACCTTACAAAGCTGCCAACAAATTTTGCATACTAAGTGGCATACCAAATATGAAATAACAATACCATAATATAATTTAACAACATCACATAATATCATCCAGATTCAATCACATAATCTCATACAAAGTGACAAAAAATCAAAGTTTGATAAAAGCTCCAACTTCCACCTAAAGGCTAAAAGTTCATACAAGCATCTAAGATTTGATGAAAAGCTGAATAAAAAATAATATCATCAATTAATCATCCAGCTAGATCTTGAGTATGATCAATATCTGATTTGATCGTGTTGTTACGCTTTAAGGTCAAATGCAAGAAATTTATAACTGGATCCAAGGGATGTAGTATAGCAGTGTAATCTGGGTTGTGTTCACATGGAGCTTTTATTGATGACCTAAGTTAGACTAAATGCCATGTAATGTAATGAAAGGGGTTTGGGTTTTAAAATTTAAATTGAATTGTGAATAAAATATATGCAATAAAAATAAACCTAAGCCACTATATTTTTGGGTTTTTGATAAAATGATGATGGAATAGGAATGGATGACAGTGAGCCTCTTGAAAATGGATTAATGCAATCATTGTTCATAAAAGATAATAGGAGTTTATTTTTACTTTTAAATGGAAAATCTCAAATATCATTGAGTCTAATGTCTTAAGTCTTGAATCCAATCCTTAAGACATTGTTAAGTCCTCTTAGTGTGTGCTTGTGATTAGTTAATGCATCAAATTCAATTAAAAATCCTTTTCTTCCAAAACAACTAACATAATCATGATCAATGAAAAGGAAGTACGTAGTCAAACCTAAATATATATACAATCGCATATATTGAAGAGCACAAAATCCTCATTAACCAATCTAAAACCCAAATTAATCATCCTACAGTGATTATAATCATAATCAAAGAGTTTGACTATAAATTATTATTCCTAAGACCTGGGAAATCACAAACCTATAGCTACACTAAGGATGAAATAGGAAAACTCCCCCACTGAGCTTGGGAACTTAAGCACCAGCTTCCATCTTTAAGAGGGTGGAACCCTAGCCCTTCATAGCTTTAGGAACAACCCTAATAGGAGTGAAATCATCAGCCATAGCAGCTAGAAGTAGAGGAGAATGGGATGGGATGAAAAAGAAAGTAAAGGAAATGGATCGAGAAGAAGGTGGAAATAGAGAGGCAAGAAGATGGATGAAGAGAGGTGTATGAGATGAGAGAACTGAGTGTTACTTTGAAAATAGGGTTTCTAGATGTTTAAGGGGTTAGTCTGGGTCGGATTATGTGAATGGGTGCTCCATTTTCATGTTTTAGATCCGACCTGGCGTTACTGATACAAGGACTTTGCCACGGCGAAGGAAAATGTTTGCCGCAACGAAGGTATCTTGAATAGACACTGATGCACATTTTCACACTTGTGCCGTAGCACATATTTTTCTTGGCCGCGACGAACAGTTCTATAATCAATACTCTGAGTTCTCATGTTGTGTAATCCGTTGGTCTTCAATCTTGACTATAATTCTTAAGTGTTCTACAATGAAAAGCAACTATTTGAAACATTAATTGTCCTAAAAATTAATTGAATACAATTAATAACCAATTATGACAATTTTATCCTAAAAAAGACATTAACTCAAAGTAGGAACTCTTAATCTAAATTAAACACAATTATCACTAAAAGAGCACTAACTCATGATAAAAGCCTTGAAAATTATATAAAATAACATAGAAGAATTGGTTGAA